AAATTAAAACAGGAGAAGAATACAATAATAGAATCAGGCAGGGGTTAGAAATGAATAGAGCAAACTCCAGGAAAAGTTCCAAGTATAGAATTTCTATTGTACTTTTCTCATGGGGTCATGGACAGCCTTCCTTTTCTGTGTGACAACAAGCTCATTTGAATTCTAGTTGGGACTCCATCATAGGGAGAGCAGAATTGGGTCTGGTAAACTGTTCAGGTGACAGACACAAGTTTCTAGTCCCCTGGGTGCTTAAGCTGATATAAGGAGACCCCAAAACTCTCATTATAAACCAGTCTATTATTGTCTGGTTTGTTCAGGACAAGCAAAGAGGGAGACAGTGAGATACAAGTAGTAGAAAACACTTAGGCATTACATGAGTCTGTCTGATGAATTGTGGGAACTGACAGTGACTGAGAGAATCTTCTGAACATAAAATTGATATTGGGGGTAAAACAATGTTGAGTGGACTCCTTTACTAACTTTATATGTGGCTTAAATCGTCATATGTATACTTGTATGTGTGTTTTGTTTTATCTAAATTTCAATCTCAAGTACTTAGAAAATTTTATAGTAAATAATAGACAGCAATAATAATGAGAAATGAATAAAATAAGCTAAAGGATAAAAGTGAGTCAGAGAAAATTTGTTTATGGACTCTAATATCAGAGAAATTTATCAGAAAGCTTTGAAATAATGCAAACCAAGTTCCTTTGTGTTCTGAGAAATACAACAGGCTTTTCTGCTTTAAAATGAATTGCCTCTGTCAAGATCAGCTGTCAGAAGTATTAGGGAATATATAGTATGTGTTTAAATTATTTGGTTTTTACAGGCGCTGTACTTTTGCAGTTGGTAGGAGTCACCACCAGATGGTGATACTAACAATGAACCAGTTTTTATCTTCAAGTGTATCAGTTTATAGACAAAAGAGAAAAGCTCTGCCTAATTTACTGTTTCTTAATAATGAGAATTTTATAACTTTATCTTACAAGGGTAAGTTAATATATTTATATATAGTACAATATATCACGATACTTCCTGTATCAAAAAAGTTTCATGATTAGACTCACTCTAAAGAGTAAATAAACTCAAGTAGGCATGTGTAATTAAAACTTCTCTCTCGTTACAAAGGATCTGGAGGTGATATTTATGCTTCTGCATGACCCAATTTGTGTTTTTTCGCCGATTCAATACAGATGGCTCAGAATGCTGTTACAATTTATTTTTAAATTTAATTTAATTTAATGTGTTTGGGTGTTTTGCCTATTTGTATGGTTCTGCATGATGTGTATGCAGTCTGAAGAAGTCAAAAGAAGCATCCGATCCCCTGGAACTCGATGTGGGTGCTGAGAATCCAACCCAGGTCTCCACAAAATAATCAGTGTTCTTAATCACTGAGCCATCTCTCCAGCACATGTATTACAATTTTTTTTACATAATTTCTATTAGCCTTTTAAATAATGTCTTAGATAATTAATCCCAGTACTCTTTATTACAGAAAACATTTAAAGTATATCCCTTGTATAGCATAAGAAACAAGGGTAGTTAAGTGGGAATATACTTATTTTTCACTTTTTGGTTCTCTCAGCCTAGGCTTATCCAGCAAAAAGAAAATGGAAGATAGTCAGAAATCCAGATAGTACTGTCTTCTAATCTCTGAAATCTTTATTTTCATCAACTCATTAAAGGCTCCAAAAATGATTTGTTTACATTCAAATCTTTATTGTGATCTTTAAAATTCTTCCTTACAGTCAAAAATTGCATTTAAAATAGCTATATTGTCTTCTCCTTAAGAAAATTGGACATCTAGATTTGCCAAAAATTCTCTCTTACAAAACACTGCTAGAATGTTCAGTTAAGTCTTCCTCGTTTGTTTGCATCCTCTTCTTCTTTCTGTCTTTCTCATTCTTTTATTTCGGAGACAGGGTTTAATTATGCAGCTCTGGCTGCTCTGACACTTGCTCTGTAGACCAGGCTGGCCTCCAATTCTGCCTCTGGCATTTGGGGATTAAAAGTGTATGTCACCAGCTCAGTCTTCCTTCCTTCCTTCCTTCCTTCCTTCCTTCCTTCCTTCCTTCCTT